TAAAGCGACCAAAACGCTGGCTTGCATCCATAGATGCGTCTCAAGCAAATCCCAGGACGTCATTCTCCTGTTGTACTGGGTCTTGGTGAGACCACAGGTGGAGTACTGCATCCAGTTTTGGGCACCACACTTCAGGAGGGATGTGGACAGCATCGAGAGGGTCCAGAGGAGGACACCAGTCTGATCAGGGGCAGCGGGGCAGGCCCTCCGAGGGGAGGCTACAGGCCCTGAACCTGTTCAGCCTCCACAAGAGAAGGCTGAGGGGGGATCTAGTGGCCGGTTACAAACTAGTCAGGGGGGGCCAGCAAGCATTGGGGGAGTCCCTGTTCCCCCGAGCACTCCCGGGAGTTACAAGAAACAACGCGACACAAGCTAGTGGAGGGTAGTTTCAGGCTAGATGTCAGGAGGCGCTACTGCACAGTCAGGGCAGCTAGGATCTGGAACCAACTTACAAAAGAAGTGGTGCTGGCTCCTACCCTGGGGGTCTTTAAAAAAAGGCTGGATGAACATCTGGCTGGGGTTGTTTGACCCCAGTACTCTTTCCTGCCACAGCAGGGGGTCAGACTAGATGATCTCCTCAGGTCCCTTCCAACCCGACCAACTATGAAACTACGAAACTTAATGCACCTTTATTTAAGGTACATTAAGGTGATTCAGGTGTGTGTCTACATGCAGATGTGCTAATGCACATCAAGGCACATTAAATCTAGGCTGGCATAGCTAAATTGCATTAGCGCATGCATAGCCGTGCTAATGCGCATGAACACAGCGTGCATTCATTGGTGCACACCACATTAATGTCTATTAGGCATCCACATGTAGGCTAATGCGATTTAACTATGCCAGCTTAAATTGGCACTTGCTATCAAATTTAGGCAGGATTAGCCTAAAATCACCATTTTTAAGGTGTATTAAAGGCACACGTGTGGACACACGCCCATAATGTGCCTTAAAAATGGCGATTTTAGGCTAATCCTGCTTGAAAGGGACACGTGTAGATGAGCTCAGTGTGTCCTTTAGAGGTAGGATCATGCTATTATCTCCTTGTTCCAGACAGGGGACTAAGGCTAGGAGACAGTGCCATACCCGAGGCTACACACAACATCTGTGGCAGGGTAGAGGCTGGTGCTGCAGACTTCCCATGGCTTGGACACATCCCGGCCCGTCCTACCTACAACAGAGCTCTGCTCCCTCCACAAAGACCTTTAGCCCGAAGGACGGGGTGTCTGCCCTGGTTCCACATGTTGAGCTCGGCAGCCACTTCTCCAAGTACTGAGTTGCAGGGTTTTTAGACATCCACTCTGATTGGGCCACATGAGCACGCCTGTCTAAAGAGAAAGCAAGACTGCACTGAACAATCAGAGCTGGGGCCACAGTAACTTCAGGACACAGCACTGACAGGGGCACCGAAAGCTTTGTGTCCCAGGAAACCAGCTCCAACAGCCTCCCAGCTCTTGCTCCTCTCCGGCACAGGCATGTCCCTGTCTCCCCGCAGCCTGGCATCTTTAGCATTCTCCCCTCATTGCCGCTGAGCAATTGTAGCCGCTAAAAGGAGCTGATCACAGCAGCTTTTCATTGCATCGCTGCTGCTCTTCCCCACTTCTGGATCATTTCCCCAGAGGGTTCAGCAACTCCGGGTGCCTGTAGGATAAGGAATCGTCCTCTGGGAAGTGACAGGATTTCCCACGAAGCCGGAGCGGAGTAGGAGTGCACCTGGGAGCTGGCTCCTTGCTGCTAGAACAAGAAGTGGGGACTCTTTGCTTGCTTCCCCCAAGAGATATTTTTTTCCCTTCCTTTTCCAGTTAATTTGAATGAAAGAGCAAGTGACTGAAACCACCTGGCTCCCACCCTCCTCTCCTGGTTCTTCTTTGCAGCGGCTCCTTTTTCCCCTGGCTCCTGAGAGACAATGGAGCTTTTCAAGCTGAGCCTGAGTTGTATCTGCCTCCTGCCTTGGCTACAGGGTAAGTTGTCTGGGCTTTTTTTCTCCTTTATGACAGCCAGAAAAAGAAAGCCATTCACCCCTGAGTTGAACAGACAAAGAAAGCAACAGCCCCGAATCCACTTTGCTATTGCAAAGCTCTAAATCTACTAGCCAGACAAGGGCTGGTTTTTTCTGCAGGTGCATCTCTATATAATGACTTTACAAACAGATGCACCAAACTGCAGAGGATAGTTATTTCCAGCTGGAAACACATGCGGAAGGAGTTCAATGGGGACAGGGAGAGTTTCCAACGGGATAGCATCTGTGCTGGGTGTTGGAGAGGCGGTCCGGTCCTGTAGCAAGAGAAGGGGGATTTGGCAATCCAGACACCTGTGTTTTAAGCCTGCTTCTGAACCAAGCCACTTAATTTCCCCGTGCCTCGTTTTCCCCATCTGGGAGGTTTACCAGAAAGACACGATGCAATGCAATCAGGACTCTTGTGGAAGATGCCCGGTTGCTGGATTTTGCAGGGCTCCCGCTCGCCTCGCTCGGGAGGGGCATTTTCATGGACTCTTAAAATTCAGACCGACTACACAAGCGATGTGCCGCGATGAGCCAATCCCATTCATCCTGCCCATGAGCTTGGAGGAGCTCAGAGGGTGTCCTGTCTCCTACCGTCTGAACAGGGACTGCTATGAAGTAGGCAGGGACACACTGCACTTGTGGGCAGGCAGCTAAAATTTGTGGGGTGAGCATTAGCAAGAGCAACTCGAGCTCAGCAAAGGGGCTTTGGGATATGATGGATGAACCGCTCTCTGCTTTGTGTCTTGCAAGAGCTGCGATGCCTTTTGCTCTGCGCAGCCCCAGCCTGGGTTTTCCAGGTAGGTAGACACATGAGAGGGTTTGTGCACTCTCTCTTCCTCAGTGAATATGAGCTCCGGAGGGCTAGCAGCAACACGACTGGTGCCCTTTTATCACTGCCCGGACAACCACTATCCTGCTATAGAGATTTGCAGAGTAAATGGGATGTCCTAATCCCAGTGGCAGACAGGCAGCAGTGAGGGGCACGCTCCTTCTAGATACCCATAGCAATAAGACCAAAGAGCTTCACTGGAATAAAGAGCAACCGCTTGACCCCCAGGTTGCCTCTATCTCTCTGTTTCATTGGGGAGCTTTTCCTAAACTCCCTATTCTTGCCTGCTATCAATTTTAAAAGCGGTACACCCCTGATACAGTACACTGCACTTCTCTTTGGCTTCTGTATAGTGGTCCATGAACCCTACGTGACCTGCAACGCCATGGTAAGAGATCCACAGATAAGCACTGGGCTTTCCCACACTTCCATCACAAGTGTGGGAAAAAAAACTGATATTTGACAGTGATCCATTTCTCCAAGAGGTCTGAGAGCTGCTGAGGCTGCAGAAAGTCATACGCTGAATCCTGCCTGGACGGTAGACAGGGGAGCGCTCGTGGAAGGGCTTTATAGCTTGCATCTGGTTAGTTTGTATGGGCCCTGCTTTTAGGTGCAAGTAAAACAAGAGAAGGGAAGTTCTGGGGGAGAGCAGTGTGTGCATCTCCCCCACCCCAGGCTGCAGGGTGAAGTGACGGGAGTCAGCAAGCTCGGCCGGCACACAAGAGCCCATGAAAACCCGAAGTTGCAATGCACACAAAGCAAAAGGCTGACCAGCCACCGCTGCCTGTGCAGCGCTCCGCTATGGACGCAACCTGCCTAGAGCTCAGCGATGTCTGGCGCTGCCCTGAAAATATCAGGATGAGGGTTTCTCTTGTGAGATCTTGGCTGTAGTCACTCCAGCAGCTGTAGAGACAGAAATCCTGTGCAAATACTCCTGATTTTCAGTGCTTTCTTTTGGAGTCCCAGAGGAAACCTTGGGCACTGGAGGTAGCAGCAAAAATAAAAGTAAAAAGGGAAATCCTTTATCAGGTCAAAAAAATTGTTCGGTTTGAGTTCTGAGGAGGTGGGTCTGAGGCTGATTTTATTCTTATCTGAACTCTTCCAGTGCTGGTTTGGATCAGATAATAGAAACAGCGAGTGTGCACCATAGGTTATTTCGAATATCAGCACATGAGGCGCAATCCAGCCTGAGAAATTATACAGTTTCAAGCCCCTTGAGTGCTTGGGAAGTACTGTTTCACACACACCAATGCCCCAAATGGTCTAAGGAGCAAAACAGGTCATCCTGAAGAAGGTTTAATCACCGGCGAAAATGGGAGGGTTCAACCAGCTTCACACCAGTCTAGACACAGAGAACCTGAACCAAATCGACTGGCCTGCCCAATGCCCTCTCACTGTGTCCTCCAGTCCCACTAGCGTCTTAATATTCCTCCCAGGCTGCAGGAAGAGGACTGCTTTTGATTTACAGATCTCAGTGGGCCACTTTTCCCGCTGGCATGAAATCAATAGAATTACAAAAGAAAAGCATTTGGCACAGTGTGATTCACTGGAAATCCCCCTCCCTGCTGGAGAGGTAGGACCGGAGCTCTCTGGGTCTTAAGATTAGAAGACTCCAGTCTGTGATGGTGTATGAACCTGCAGCGGGGCTGCAAAGAGGATGGAGCTGGGCTGGGCTCAGTGGGGAAAGCTGACAGGACAAGGAGCAATGGGCTCAGGCTGCAGCAAGGGGAGTTGAGGCTGGATATTAGGGAAAACTTTCTCACCAGGAATGTGGTGAAGCACTGGAAGAGAGGTGGTGGGATCTCCATCCTTGGAGGTTTTGAAGACCCAGTTACACAAAGCCTTGGCTGGGATGATGTAGGTGGGGCTGGTGCTGCTTTGAGCAGGGAATTGGACTAGATGTGACCTCCTGAGCTCCCTTCCACCCTCATTTTCTGTCTTTCTCTGATTTTATGATTCTATCTTCTGGAGGAACTCCGTGGTGGTAGTGGGGTCTAAGTGCATGCTACGAGGTAGGGAGTCCTAAGGAAATACAATGTGTAAAGATGACACTGCATGTAAATCATGTTGCTGCTGAAGCCCCGTTGGGCTTGAGAGAAAGCTGATGGGAACAACGCAGAAGTAGTAGGCAAAGCAAATTGCAAAGTATGACTACTCATTCCTGCCCGGAGCAGGGGGTCGGACCTGATGATCTGTTTAGGTCCCTTCCGACCCTAAGCACTATGAAACCATGACCAACAACAACAGGTTGCTTCCTAAAATGGCTGCACAGAGGAACATTGCCCTACATAGAGATGCCTACACTCTTTGCCAGCTGGCAGACAGTGAGACCCCTCAAACAATACAGAGTAAGGTATAAACCAGTCCTTGCAGCTGGACCTCTGGAATTGCTGAATGCTAGCAGACAAGAGTGATGGGCAGAAGCCAAATGTGGTGGGGCTACAAGCCCCAACAAACTCTCCCTATGCCTGAAGAAGGGTGTTTGTGCTTGACAGCTTGCAAAGAACAATTTTTTCCAACTATTTAGCTGGTCTAATAAAAGATATCACATCTACCCAAGGAACCATGCCTGCCTATGTCCTTAGACCAACACGGCTACAAGCAACAACTCTAAAGCCCCAACAGCCCCTTTTCAGAATTTGAGACAAATTCAAGTCTGTAGGCCTGCAACTAGCTGGCATGCCTCTTCATGCTTGAAGCTTGGTGGGCCCTTTGGAGGATTGGATTAGGATGCAGAATGACATCAAACCATTTAGGACATAACAATCGCATGGACACAACAGGTTAGACATGTCTCACTAGGCTGCAATACTGCAAAAAAAGGACCTGGACGGTATAGCAGAATATAAATGAACATAGGAGTCAACCGTGTGCTTTTGCTGCAAAACCGAACATTAATAAGAACGCTGCTCTCAAGCGAAGGGAAGTGATTTTCCTGCTCTGTTTGGCCCTGGTGAGGCTTCACCTGGAGTCCTGTGTCCAGGTTGGGGCACTGAGCTTCCAAAAAGAGATGCAGACAAACTGGAAGGAATCCAGCAGGGAGCAACAAACGTGATTAGAGGTCTAGGAAACATGACTTAGATGAAGAGATTGGGGATAATTTAGCTTAACAAAGAGAAGACTGAGGTGGGATTTGATAACAGTCATCAAAACCCTGAAAGGCAGTTGAGGATGGCGATAGAGCATTGGGGACGGGACAAGAAGTAACAGTCTTAAATTGCAGCGAGGGAAGTTTTAGGTTGGATATAAGGAAGAACTTTCTAAGTATGGTGGTGGTTAAGAGTTGGAACAGGCAACCCGGAGGGGCTGGGGAGCTGCCATCCTTGGAAGAGCAGGTGAGACAAACACTTGTCTGAGATGGTTTAGACAGGAATGATCTTGCCTTGAGCAGGGGATTGGACTAGATGACCTCCTGGATGCCTCTTTAAGCCCTGTTTGTCCACAATTTACCCGTGTGCATGTCTCTGGCCAAATGCCCATGATATAGCAACAAGCAAAGAGCATCGACACCCTGAACAGTCTGAAGAAACCTTCTGATATCAGCTGCTATGTGCTTGTGGCAAGGATGTCACCTCAGAAAATCACACTCCTCCTGGAGGACTGCATCCCTCACGGGCAATCTGGGTTCAGACTAGAAAGAAGCACTGAAGACCATGTCACCTCACCAATGACCTGTACCAAAGCCACCTACCAACATGGGTTCAGGACAGCAGTGGCTTTCCTGGAGCTGCCTGCAACACACGACTGGTCAGATGGGAGAGTTTGCCTCTGAAAGTGTTGGACATGGTCTGGTGTAGGATGGGCAGGACTTCTCTGCTCACCAGCTGTGAGTTTCACACACCGCTGATGGAAAACAAAGCAGACCTTGTCAACCCAGTCATGAGCTCCCATGGCGTTGTCCCTCTTTGATATGCATACCAGAGACATGACACTGACCCGGTCACGGATGTCGATGAATTTGTGCTCAACATCTGAGAACTTGCCCCTAAGAGGAACACATCTTGAGAGAAAAATTGAAAAGAAATGAGGAGTCTGCTAGAAGTTATAACGATTTCAACCACCATGTGAAGAAGCATCTGACTGTCTTCTGTAGTAGTGGACTCAGGCTGGATAACTTCCCAAAACAG